TTTAGAATGATAATTTTTCGCTGGATTGCTACCATGTACCCCATTTTTGTTGAGTATATATTTCAGTTGTGTTCTGTAGCACTTTAGCTGTCAAAAATAATAGGTAACCGTGCCTAATACATTAAACAATATTATTTTATTTTTCTATATAAAGGCTGTTTAAACAACCAAATTCTCTCGGATGTAAAACGTCATATTATATTTTGATATTCATTTTATTTAATAAATGTTGAATATTCCTATTTGTCCTTATAATAAAAATATCCTATTAAAGTATAGGTAATATCATTTGAAGAAACTCATAGAGAACAAAAAATCAAAATCAAATTTATTTATTCAGTCTAGTCTGTTACTTGTGAAAGTCGAGAGCTACTGCGACTTAAAAATAATATGGACTGCAGGATTTTTCAAGGGCATCCAATTTTGCCCATAAACGTTAAAATTAAATTTATTTATTAAATTTCAGGGATATCAAGACGAACCATAAATATTTCTTGAAACATTTATAAGTATCTCTCAACAATATTATTAAATGCGTAACGATTTTCTTTTTTCTTTTTATTGGAAAATAAAATGAATTAATATTTGAAAGTAAGTATATCGTTCAAAATTAAGAAAAGTACAAAATCTCAACTGATTATACTCAATAACTTATATTATTTAAGTGACAAAAAGTCCTAGTTTTATCAAACTTCTATAAACTGTTCATTAAAAAAAAATCAGAAACTAAAACCTGTTTAAATGACGTTTAAAATGACTTAAGTACGGCTTGAGTCGTGCTTAACTTTAAATTCCTAATTCAGAAACCGGGTGTTAGAAAAGTAATTTGGGTATTCGCCTAATTTAAAAAGGGACAATTTTTTAAAAGAAACAAAATTGTGTAGTAAAAGCTCTCTTTATAAAACTATATAATTAGATTGAATATGAAATTATTTAAGGGAGTTAGGTAACTCATATGTACATTTTAACCAAGGTGGCCGATAAGCCCAGCATGGCCTATGGCACCAACGCCCCAAGGAGCGCCGATAGGTGCACTCAAGCCAACTCGAGCGGCGGGCCAAATGGCAGCAGCAGGCCAAGCAGCGTGGACAGCGGGGAGGGCGGGAGCCAATAAGGGCGCGGACCTCTTCCTCAATAAGTGACCACCATTCACAGCCCGTGCAGTGAGGTGAGCAGCACGATCCAAGTTCACGCTGAGAGTGTCAAGTGGTCTACCGTCGGCGGCAAGGATGTTGGCGGGCTGTCCAGGTGCTAAAGACAATGGGCCCCTGTAGTTGATCCCATGTCCAAGAACGGGCACAGCAGCAATGGCGGGGGCCACAGCCACACCGTGAGCTGTTACAGTTCCCCAAGGAGCGGTAATCGGAGCAGCCAACGGGGTAGCAATCGGTGCAGCTAACGAGGCAGCAATTGGAGCAGCTAACGGAGCAGCAATCGGGCCAGCCAACCCTGCCAAACCCAAACCACCCAAACCTAGACCAATGGTACTGGGTGACGCGGCTACTAGGGCCAGCACGGAGGACAACACTACCAGTTTAAACATTGTAGTCTGTGTTGCTTACGTCAAATGACTGATGCTTTTACCCCATTTGCTTCAGCTTATATACTAGTTTGTCTAGTAGGCGTAGTCTTTCTTTGTGACTTAAGAAAATATATGACTAGCCGTAGGTCTTTTTGAAACTTACTCAAAGGGCTGCGCTGGTGCTAAGCTTTAGCAACCAATAGATAAGTAAAACGTGATTAAAAAATTCTCACATAAAATTTCAGATGATCACAATGGTAATATGCACAATAATTCATATTTTCATAAATACATTATAAATCGGGCTTATCTAAATGTTATTTGACATTGCAAAAACATTCCTGTTGTGATGCAATTCACGTTCGAATTTCATCAAAGTTTATCTGGTTAGTTGTTAGTTTATTTTAACATGCTATGTAATATGTTTTTCTTATTACAATATGATATGAAAATTCTGCAAGAAATAATGCGTAGAATAGTCAATTGTTTCAGATGACTCCAGATGGAGTTCGAACCCGCGATTATTGGCGATCGGGTATCGACTGTCGGGAACAAATATTATTGACTACTAGCTGTTTTGCTGTGACGTGTGTGAATATGTGAAGCAAAATGTATAATTTAAAATAAATAGTTTTCAATTAGACTACAAATAAGATATTTGTAGTTTAATTAAATAACTATTTCTACGAATAATTTTGCCAAACAAAACCGATTTTAACACTCTTCTTTTGCAAAAAAATAGAATAAGAGTTACTCATATTAATTAAATTATATTAAACATTTTGCACCCCCAAGCAGGAAGTCATACACCTCAGAGTACCAATCTTCATTACAATGATCTACTTGAAATAGAAAATAAGTAACTATAATCTTTTTTATTTTTTGCAAATCTGACCTGTTTTCTTTAGAAAATTATACATTAACTTACTCTTCAATCTCTCGATGGCGCAATGGTTCAATGGTAAGAACGTTGAACCTATATCGAACCTATATCGGTCGATAAAAATATAAAGTATTTATGGAAACGTAAAATGATTAGTTCACACTTTTTATTATAATAAAACATAGAGTCGATTTCCAAAAAAAAAAAAGAGTAATGTTACTTTGAATTGGTTATCTACTCTTGTACATCTTTTCAATCCCCTAGAAGGAGTATAGTTTAGACCTCTTGAATAAAAGTACCACCAGCACTATAAATCACTGCCTTCATTTTTATTACTACAAAGAAAACAGTATTTTCTATGAAACACTAACAAGTCGAAGAGGATAATCATATTATTTAAATACTTTAACGTTTTCAAATGCAGCGTGAACAAACAGTTTAATGTACCTTGTAAAGCACGAAAGAGCTCAAAATAATAAATTTTTGGTCACCTATGACCAATCCTTGCAAAACTTATTGTACTTTCACACGCAAACGAACGCGCTAACTACTGCGCCATCGAGTTCCTCCTCTTTTATTTTAATATTAGCTTTATACAGTTATAATCATTGATGAAAATTTAAAATTAATAATACTCTAAAACTGATTCATAACGGTGAATTAGAAGTTACGTGAATTTTCTTAATCTTATAAGAAATAAGGGTTTTTTATAAAATTATTTATTTATTTTTTCGATACCTTGGGCCAGATATATTTAATAAATAATTCCAAAGAACCAGACTTCTAAGACAAATTAAATTAAACCATCTCAATCTAGTTTAGTTACCTCGGAGACACGCCGTAAGTTAGCAGGTATGGTGATTCTTTATAAAATAATTTAAAATAAAATTGCCTCCTCTGCCTTGCATCATCTTCACTCATCATCATCGTCCTGGTGATGCCTTGTTTGTGCCTCCTCAACTGAAAAAAAAATTACACAAGTAATTGTTTCCTTCGCCGCAGCTTGATACTTTATATATACTGAAATAATAAACAAATTTCAAAAGTAGATCCATTTATCCATACATTGTCAAATTTAAAAAAGCATGTACTAGATATTTTACCACAATAAGGTTATTAAAATGTAATCTGACATTGTTATATAACGTAAGCTTGTTCTTAATTTACAAAAAGTCTTACTAATATATGCTCGCTTTTATTTTCGCTTTTATTGAAAAGGAATAAAGGTTATGTTGCGAGAATTCTTTCGTCATTTACACATCACTGTTTATCTTTGCATGGCAGTTACCGACTCTTTAAACATATTTATAAAAAAAAATGAAATTCAGAGTCACTCAACCTTTTTTTTCGTATTTTAGTCTAATTTGTAATAAATCATTACAAATTTATTACAATATAGACTAAAAAAAGTACATCATATCTACTTCAAGCTCCATCATCAAACCAGCTGCATTCCATATTGACATCGCATAGTCATCTAAATTATACATTCAAACAAAATTTCAGCTTAATCGACAACTAGAGAGTTTATAATTTTTAGCTTGCAGTATTTGACTCAGAGTGACCACGGAAAATGAAATATAGACTTGAAGATATGGTACAACATAAGCACATACATATATTATAATAAAGTATTAGCTGTTTTCCCCCGACGTCGCGCGAAGAGATTGCTGAACAGATTTTGCGAATTCTCCTGAGAATTCGCAAAATCTGTCCTGCATTTATGATATTTGATTAATTTTGCATTCACAATGCTATGCTGCTGGCCCGTCTCAGGGTGCCAGGAACCAAGAACATTTTTAAGCAATTTTCATGAAAAATATCTGTCCAGTAGTTTCGAACGCTATTCAAGGAAAACAAATAATCAAATCTCTTCTAATTTGGTAGCCGTCTGTCAGCAGTGTGTGGTCTAGCGTTGTCGTCAAGTAGCAGTGGCGTAGAGGAAAACTAAATAGGTATAAATATGTAGTTAAATCTACGAATACTCAAATATAATCAACAACGCAACTGCAACTGCATTATTGATTATATTTGACAGTATTGAATTAAATAATGTAGTTTTATGCATACATTCAATTCATTATAAGCACGCCACAAGGCACGTCTAGATAGAAAGATAAATCTATATAATATTTTATAATAAACGTCAAATCAAAAAATCATGTCTTATCTAAAAGATGAATAGATAAATGATTTACGCTCCTAAGCATTATTGATTGTGAATTTTAAAACTTATCTTAATTGCAGGAAGAAGAGAAACAAAATTGTATAGTGGTAACTCTCTTTATAAACTCTAATTAGATACAACGTGGAATTAACTTAGGTAGTTATCTCATATGTACATTTTAACCAAGGTGGCCGATAAGCCCAGCGTGGCCTATGGCACCAACGCCCAAAGGAGCAGCGACCGGCGCACCCCAGCCAATTCGAGCAGCGGGCCAAGCCGAGGCGACAGCGGGCAGGGCGGGAGCAATCACACGGGAGGGAATGTCAATACGAGCGGCATATGACAACGCCGCCGCGGGGGCCAATAAGGGTGCAGATCTCTTCCTCAACAAATGACCACTCACAGCCCGTGCGGTGAGGTGCGCAGCACGATCCAAGTTCACGCTGAGAGTGTCAAGTGGTCTACCGTCGGCGGCAAGGATGTTGGCGGGCTGTCCAGGTGCCAGAGACAACGGGCCCCTGTAGTTATAAGCATGTCCAAGCACGGGTGCGGCGGCAAGGGCAGGTGCTACAACTACACCGTGAGCGGCAATCGGAGCAGCCAATGGGGCAGCAATATGAGCACCTAACGGAACACCAATTGGACCAGCCAACCCTGTCAAGCCTAAACCACCTAAACCTAGCCCGATGGCACTCGGTGAGGCGGCTGCTAGAGCCAACACGGAAGACAACACCACCAACTTAAACATTGTGGTCTGTGTTGCTTTGGTCAATTGACTGATGCAAGTTACCCCATTTGATTCCACTTATATACTAGTTTGTCTAGTAGGCGTACCCTATACCTTTGTGACGTAAGCAAATATGCAACTAGGCGTTGGCTGCAGATCGTTGGCAAATCGATATTAAGGGCTGCGCTGGCACCGAGCTTTAGTGACCGACAGATTATAACCGAAACTCAACCATGTATTGTTGAACATTAATTCCAATGTAGAAACAGTAAAGAATGAACATTATTTCTGTATTTACCTTGGACAATTTGATAAAGGACCATTCACTTTACCCGAATACAAGTTATCAAAATTAATTTAGTTGTCTCTCCCAAAAAATATTTAGAAGGTGTTTCAGAACATGTCAAGAAAATTAATCTAATATAATATATATTCTACTCGAAACGCTTATCTATTAAACAATCATGAGATAGTGGTCTGTAAAGAAATTATTAAATGGTTGATAAAAAATATATATTTTGTTATTTTTTTAATATCAATAGATTATAAAGCCAGAATAATAGAATAAAATTGACAATTGAAGATTGATGTTTTGAACAAAATTCAAAGTTACAAATTCATTACATTATACCACGATATATTGATTTCTTATATTTTCACGCGCACTATCCATAAATGAAACAACTTATTAAATATATTAAATAAAAGGGAGCAATTCACTTTTTCTTGTCGGAGTTTATTTCTTCTTCTCAGACAAGACTCCCAAAGTTGGAACTGGTGGTAGATTACAGTAGCTAGGGTTAAATAAATAAGTCAATTGTATTTTAAAATATTTTTTTAAATGTAAACGTTGCCATAATTTTTTTTTTATTGTTGTTAAATATATATACTTTTAATTAAAAAGTCAATCAACACCTTAGAACTTATGTGAACACGGAACTTGCAAAGGGTCCCAAACGTCTAAAACTAAATACAAACGCGATGAAACCGTTTAAAAATTGTTTCATTTATACCATAATGTTTATAATTATACTAGCGATTGTAAAAAACAGTTATAATTCAAAAGGAATATTAACTCAAATTATGCTACCTAATATAAGAAGGTTATATTGAGGCTTGCAAATTTACAAACATAGTATAAACAAACTCTAATCGTTTGAGTTTCGTTGTTAAAACCCTTATATGTGTAAACTTACCTCCCACAAAACTTAGCGAAGTTGTTGAACTTTTGCACACACAATTACTTAACAAGACAACAAGTGTTTTGGTATCTTAAGTTACTATTAGTGATGCAATATACAATAAGCAGACTTATACAATAATTTTCTTGTGGTTGGTATTAATTCGTAATAATTATGAAAATGCCTGGAGAAATTAATATTATTTGTAATTACTGTGATGATGAAAATATGACTGTCCCGACATCTAACATCTCATGAAAGTATGCTAAACGCTGTTGTGGTTTTGAAGACTTATTTTAAATTTTGTTCCTCCACCTACAAAATGACTTGCATATTAAATTCAGTTGTCCTCATAAAAAAGTATAATTCCAAACAACAAATTAAAAAAAAACTTAGTTTTAGACAAAGATTTGACATAGGTTTTAGTAGTAAATTTAGGATTTATTTCTAATTAGATAATTTTGTGAAATCGATATGTGACAGAACATATCGATTTTATTAATATTATAAAAAGTGTCAAACTTTATTTGTTTATTTCGGAAACCTTATCACAAAAAAAAACTTTTGAGTTGATTTTCGTGGGCAAAGTCACGGAAAAAACAGTTAGTATGATATAGCTTTCTCATTTTTATTACTGCTTATTCGAACATTATTACAAAACCAGTTGAAAGTTAGTAATTTTGGGTGTACGGTACACGATAATGATAATGCCAGTAGACACTTTATACTACTACATTAAAAATATTGTATTAAGTATTTCTTATTGCAAAAAACGTGTCTGTTGTGATGTAATTAACGCTCGAATTTCATCAAATTTATCTTTTATCTATTAATAATCAGAATACTTAGAAAACATTAACTGTGACAAGTGACTCCTGACAGACGTTGAATCGAAATAGTCCAATCCTGGGACTCTAAATAATTTAATATGAATTGTTATATCTAATGAAGAGAAGAACTCAGTAGCATAGTGGTTAGCGTGTTCGGTCTACGATACGGATCTTATGCAACTTTTGCAAGAGCCTGTCATAGGATGGGTGACCAAAATTGTTATCTCTAGCTCCTCCGTGCTTCGGAAGGCACGTTGAGTCAGTTAAGTTATTGCTCCGGGCTGCATCTGCTGTCGATGTTGAGTTTATTTCGATTCTATTTGATCCCATCCATTTGGATATTTTTTCATCTGATGAATAGCTTTATTATTATTATTTATCGCAATATGAACTGGCCATTTTTTTCTCTTATTTACCCCGAAAGAGCTTTATGATTCGTTTAGTCATGTTACATGACCACATTTCTGTCAAGTTAGATATTTTACTAAATTTCAACTCAATCGATCTCATTACGTCGAAACTACCTATAAAGAAAATCAGCTGACTGTCAAATGATCCTATATAAGTTCCTATTTTCCTTTTCTAGTGCAGAACTATAACGAGTTTCCCATATTTTTTTAATTACATTGTCCGAGTCCTGGTTTAACAGCTATAAGAATTTAATGGTATTTTTAAATTCCAATTTTTTAGATGAGTCTTAATTTTATAGGACCTAAATAATTCCAAAATTTTAGGTAATATAACATTTTATTACCTGAATACGTATCGAGAGACGCGCTTAATTGATTTTATATATATTTAATCCCAGGAAATAACAAATCCAGTTATATAAAAAAAAACTTTTGTATACTTTAGATTATATAAAAAATATATTCCTGAACATTGATGAGAATACGCTCTGTAGTAGCGAAAAGTAACAAGTGCTTGAAAGATTCTTCAGCCCTGTTAGGTCCTGGGTAGCTCACATGTTAGAGCAGTCGCCCGGATTACAAAAGGGATTGGGTCGATTCCCATCTCAGGGTGCCAGGGACCAAGTGGATGATTTTTAGGCGTTTTGTATTTAGAATATGTTTCAGTATAGCATTGTGAATGCGAAATAAATCAAATATAATATGTTTTTGTATACTTTTTTGGGTAGTTAAGATGAAAACCTATTTAGACTCAACTTTGCCATTTTCTTCTATTGAGCCAATTATTAAAAATTTATGCTTTCGTTTAAGCAAGCAATCAATAATATGTTTAATTTACACAAAATGATTTTATTTCGCAAATATTAGCATAACCTTAGATTAAAATTGTTTAAACAAGTGGCAATTTCGTATAACCTCGCCTTATAAACTAAACAGGAGTTATGACATTTACATACGTGTAAAGACATAATGGGACGTGAAACGAATAATACAATTATCCCTTTTCCTTCTAAGATACAGCACCCTAAAAGTTTAATAACAAAACAATATGATATGGTGCAAATAATCGACGAGTTAATATTGTATGATGAGAAATCGTTACCGCTCAGTAATTATAATATCATTACCCGTTCATTCACTTTCCAAGTTTAGTAAAATACTGACAATGAAAGGGGTAACTCTAACGAATTAGCTTTTAAAGGGTGTTAACACCCTTAAATTCGCTTAAGAAACGCGCTCGCTTGAAAATAACTTGATAAGTTTTCAATAACTTCCAAACGCCTTTAAAACATTAATGTTAGTATTCGTACATTGGAAATGTCTTCTTTCAATAACGAGACACATTTTGCTTGCATATTCCTTTATTTTAATCAACAGAAATTTACAAAGACAACATGGGTTCAAACACTTTCTTATATCATAAATTCACTTTCATTAAATCGATTTTGGGGCATTTTTTTATTTTACAGACAATCAAACAAGTACTGTTGGTACGTGCGCCGCGTAAGTGAGTGGTACTGAGTGTACCAGTGGCTGGTGGACCACAGGTACTACAGACAGGGGTGATCCATGTACCACGCTGTTGGAGTATCCAGAATAACTGGTGACGGCTGGTGAAACAATCACCGGAGCAGAGTAAGCTACCAAACCAGGGCGGGGAGCGGCGACTGATAAAGCCAAGATGGTGGACAAAATAATCTGAAAAAAAATGCATATACAATTATTATTTTTTTGTTTGGAGATAACGTTAAATATCTAATTAGATGGTTTTATTTTATTTACACTATAATTGATGTACTTTGTATGTATATTGTTATTATTATTATTTATCAAAATAACTATATATGATTTAATTAAAAATTTCTTAGAATCTGTATAGTAATAACAAGACAACAAAAAACATCAAAGAATTTAAAATAAATAAAATTCATATATTAAATATACCCTCACTGACAAGTGATACTATTTCAGGTATTAAGCGCAATAAACATTTAGATTGGTAATAAAATAAGTTGTTTAGTAGTAGATATATAAGTTGTAGTAGATATATAAGTTGTAGTAGATTGATAGGGAATACTGAAAGGAAAAGATATAAGAATTTCGACAGTTGAAAGTAAGAGTGTAATTTTCTTTTTTTTTAATATGTTGCTAGTGTTTGTATGGAAAAAACTTCGTTAACACTGCAATGTAGGTTCAATGCCTTACCCACGTCACTCATACTTAATGCCGGAGGTTTGATCCAAGAATATAAATCGTTCAATCAGAGAATTGGGGCGCACAATATCGGTAAGACTGATGAAACTGTTCGTGTGACTAATAATTGTTTTTGCTATACGGATATAAATTACGTAGGGTCTAAGTTTGGACGTTTATGATTCCTGTAAGAGATTGTTAAGTTACTTGACCTATTTGCTAGAAGCAATTAAGTATTTCGCTACAGCGATTTTGATTATACGTAATTTTAGAGAAACTTTTAATAGAGAAACAGACGTCAACAGTCAACAATCATAATACTATCTAAAACTTTGAGATCGTTAACTAAACCATTTAGTTTACATGAAAATCTAGCGCGAATCAAATTCATATAGATAAAAAAAACTTACACTTGTATTACAAATTCCTACACGTAAGTAGATGGCGCTGTTCAAATATCTTTACAAAAATTTTATATTCTATGATCGACACATTTTCAGAAATGCAATAGTAAAATGTAAAATGTACAAGTTAATCTTCCTTTTAAATCTACACATTAAAAGCTGTATACAAAAGATATTTGTTAGACTTACTCACAAGATAACACTCTTTTTATTTGGCCAGGGACCAAGTGGATATTTTAAGTATATTTTTCATTAAGAAAATTTTTCAGTATAGCATTGTGAATACGAAATTTATTAAATATAATAATTAGAACTTCCATCTTTATTGAAAGTTTAAATATTTGTAAAAATATTTCTTACGGCTGTTTGGGTAGATTCCCTAAACATTGGTGAGAATACGCTCGTTATTAGCGAATAAGTGACAAGTGCTTGAAAGATTCTTCATTCCTATTAGGTTCTGGGTAGCTCAGTGGTTAGAGTAGTCGCCCTGATTGCAAAAGTTCATGCGTTCGAATCCCATCTCAGGGTGCCAGAGACCAAGTGGGTCTTTAAACATTTTTCATTAAGAATACTCTATTTTTATATCAACGCCTAGTAAGTGTTAATTAGGAAGGTAACAAAAGACTAACATTACCGTTAAGGCAGCCGGCTTGCTTAAATACAATTTCTCTGAAAGGGACTTCCCGTAAAAAAGTTCAAAGAACTTTTGGGGGAAGCTATAATTAAATTTTAAGATTGAAATAAAACAGGGTGGATTTTATTTTTCATTATATTTTACCGCCAGTTAACTTAGGACGGGGTATAATGCAAATTCATTTATATGAGATTAATTTGAGCAAAACCAATGAAGTTTAATAGAATCATAGTTATTATGCATTAAATTCAAAATATGAATTTATTTATGAATAAAGACAAATAGAAAAGTGGGCTGTAAAATTCAGCAGCTACACAAACCACAATAAGAAATCATATCTAAACATCGTTTTAAAAAGAGCGAAGTATAAGTTAGAGCTGTGCACCTACAGTGTTATTAATAAACAAGTTTTATCGTTAAATTTACGCTAAGACTGCACTAAGTATTAATCAAAAGAGACTCAGGTTAACCTATTTCTAGGTTCTACGGGAGTAATATTTACTCCAAGAAGGTATCAGGTTAGCTTATTCTCTGTATAATATGAATGTGAACAAAAACTAAAATTTCATATCTAACCATCGTTTTTAGTCTAATTGCATGCATTGCAATTTTAGCCTAAATTGACTCCGATGCTAAACCTTGTTTATTAATAGCACCGCTAAGGTTCTGTACGATTGTTCAATTTTTAAACCCTTACACCCAGTTGCAAAAAACGATCTTTAAGATTTAATTAAACATTAATGAATATAGATTTTAAATAATAATTAAAATTAAAAATTTGTGTCGGAAATGTTTAATGCTTTGTTTTACAATTTTAATGGACGTTTGTACAGCCAGATGATTAACGCTATAATTTTTCAAACTTAGAACTTTAATTTGAGCATAAAGTCGCCATTAAATGAATGTTGGATATTTGTGTAACTGAGTCTATGACTTCTAATAGGTTGCTTGTAGTTTGCGGGCGTAGAACTATTTTCCTTTTTTTTTAATTGTGGGTAAAAAACAGAAGGATGGTCAAAACTCGCATATTTTTTAAATAATTTCACGGGATGCTCCTAGTCAACACATTCGTTTAATATCTTTTTCTTTAATTTTTTAATTTACCTCCCCAAAGCACTACGCTGAAAACTTATTTATTTACTTTGGACAGCCTTCAATTGTGTACCAATACTTAATTCAAGTCGTTTAATAGTTTTGGAAAAAATAGCTGTGATAGACGGACAGACAGTCAAACGAGTGACCCTTTAGGTGCGAAGCTCTAACAGCCAGTTGCACAAACGTCGATTAAAGGTCATTAGTATAAGCGACATTACCCATACAAATTTGACTTTCATTAGGTCTTAAAGGCGTCATAAAACCTTAATAGAACTTTTGTGCAACCGACCGTAAATAGTTTAAATTGACTTAAAATCATACGGAATAAAAGGTACTGAAAGTAGAAGCTGATCGTATAAAAATGATATTATTTATAACTCTTATGTAGGACAGAGGCTTTGTTTGGACCTTTATATTTTATTTAAAGAATGAGTGATGAAGCTGTGCTGTTTTGCTTGTTAATTTTAATAATTTTTCGCCTTTCAACGTGATGTGTACTTAATATGAAAAGTAGGACTTAAACCCTTTGTGACCCGACGACGAAAAGTTGTACGACCAAAGATCAGTCACCTCTTTGCAAAACATTTCTAGAATTCCTAGATATTTACCTCCCGCTAAAACTTTTGTCAGTATTTAATTATACTTTGGCAACTTATTTATTTATTTATTTTATTTTTATTTATTTAACACTTTATTGCACAAAAAAAACTTATTCAACTTTTTTCCTCGTAGTCCATTTCAAACTAATGAATAAGCATTTATTAATAGAAATTTTAATATACATATAACATAACATTGTATTGTCAACCATATTTTAACTAACGCAAATTTGTAGTATCTTCTTATAACGATGGAATGATATAGCAGCAATTCTGTTTCACAAACTAAGTTTAGTCCTGTCGATTTATTTAATGTGTTAATTATCAAGAAAATTTAAATAAACTTACTATAGTATAGGAATACAATTATATTTTTCTTACAAATACGACTATACAATAATATTAACACAAACACAAATTAAATCTATTTTTTAAAGTCTAATCCCATCTCAAAATGATTTTTTTAAACATCATCTCAGAGTATCAGGGACAAAATCGATTTTTTAAGCATTTTAGATTAAGAATATTTTCCAGTGCAAAATTGTTCAAATATAATTTAATATAGAGAATTAATGACCACCAGTATCTCCTAAATAGCACTTTTAATAAACGTGACTTTTTAATTGAGTCTCTTATATAGATTAAATACTTATTAAATTAAAAATAGATAGTTATGATTTAATTGATTATTTTTCAATACCCATACACGTTTACTTTTCAATAAATGATATGAATATAAGTAATAATGTAAAGCTGGGGGTACAGTTTAGAAATAAATACTTAAAATTATAAAAATATGTGTTAGTCTCAGAGTATTATCAGCAATTCCGATTAAGTAATTAAATAAAAAACACTTCGACATACCAATTTGTACATGTTGCTGGTAATTTCGTCTGACTAGCAAAGCAAGCTGTCACTACGAGTTCTAATGTTGACTGTAAGCAACAAATCTTCGTAAACAACTTTTATATTATGCTCATCATTAAAACAGGCTAGACAAGAATACCTTTGTCCATCTCAACCGAAATAATTGGATGCTCACGTTTGTAATCGAATTCCACCTTATAGTAAAGCTTTGAGGGGTCAAAATTAAGAAGTTTAATCGCTAAACACGCATCTATAACAGGTTAGGTACCTAAAAACGAAACCAGCAAATGGTTACATCAATCACTAACACATATGATTGACTGAATGTTACAACAACCTCCTGTTTTATACACGTGGAGATATTCGGCCCATATGCAAATAACTGTACAAAAAGTCTTGATATCTTATAAAATATCAAATATGGGCTAAAATGATATAGGTTATAAATAGATTTCGTTTTTATTAATATTGTTCTTTAAAATAAAATATATATTGGGCACACTTTATTATTTATGGGTATTTAAAATATTCAAAAGTCTAAATGTGAATTATCATTAATTATTCTCAGCCTCTAAATATACTCCACGAATCATGGGAGCTTGAGGTAATAAACTTTTGCTCGATTACCCTATGACCAGCCCTTAAGAAAGTTCTTACAATCCGACCGCCTGTATGATTATTACTCCTAAAAATAACCTTTAGATGAAATTCGGCAGAGATGTGATAGAATAGAAGACATCTCCTACCTGATCAAGTCGGATTTCCTCTACTAATGTTCTAAATACGTAATTTTTTTAACTTTATTTGTTCATATGCAGGCAATCTTCAGAGATACTCCAATCATGAAAATTCTCTCACCTACCGGAAGCTATATCATACGTAACGCGAGTGATTTTAAGCTAAAATTTACTCGGGCGAAGTCGCGGGAAAACAGCTAACCTATGTTTTAATAACTCTTCTACAACTTACTTCAACCGCATTGATTGCGATTGTGACCGATGCAATCCTCTTAAAAACATGTTTAATCAACGCCAAAAACCGGTCGCAAAAGATTTGGATATGAGTTATACCAGGATCGGATGGTTCCGGTTAATTAAAATCTAAATATGCTGTAACTGAATAAAAAAAAAAACATTATGTAGGTGGTCAAACACAAATATTAATTAATAAAATTTTCTCGATACATAATTACAAAGTTATCTCTAAATTTTTTTCATTTCGTCCCGTGCTTATACTTTTTTATTTACAAGGAAAAACGGAAACCAATATACATGAGTTACATACCAAAACTAACAAAAGCATGATGTATAGAGAAGCTTAGAATGTTTTGTGAAATTTACGCTAGCGTAGGCGGAAAAACAGTTTATAATTAAAAAAAAGATTTATAGTTATATTTTTTATTATTGAATAGTATCTGATTTTGAAAATGAATAAATATCTAAATTATTACAGGAGACATTTATTAATTGCACGTGAACTTTAGATTGGGAACTCATTTAAAAACGTAACTGCTTTGTTCAGTAACATGTTTGATTTCACAAAAGTTATTTGATATAATTACAACTAAGAGAGAGTTTATTTTGAACTTCCGACCTCTAAGCTAGTGTTTCTTGACCAGCGATTAGAAGTTTAAAAATTAAATAATATCATTACTTGTTTTTTCGATCTTGGAAGAGGTGCTGTTTAATTTTTAAATTATTAATATTTTAAACTCAAATATTAAAAAGGAAAATTTAATTGAAATAAAGCAGGAGGTATTGGCAAGTCAACGTCTATATATAGAATTAACACTTTATTCATTGTTAACATAACAAATTGATAAAGTTTACAGTCTGTGATCTTATCGATTCCAGGTAACCGCTACTTAGACGGATCTATTTCAGAAATAGATAAGTAGTAATTGGTATCTTACGGTGTATTATCACAATAATTTTTAATTTTAATAGGCATATTATTGTGAATCGCCAAAAATTGTAGGTATTATTAAAAAAAAGTAGCAAGATGTCATTAATAGCACATTATTTAACTACCTGACGTATGAGTAGTATTGTAATATAGGGCTCATAAAATACGACCTTGTTATAAATTAAAAACATACACTGTTTATATAAAAAACTAAATAAAAGTTATATAACAAATTCACAATAAACTTGAAACAAAAAACCGGACGAAAAAATTATTTCTCATTTTTTGTTTATTGAAAGTAAAGGTGTAGCACACGAAAAGCGGCAGATATTTATTGACCATTTGTATTAATCAGTTTAATTTTGATAGTGGAAAAATTATGGCACAGATTTCCCTTATAGGAAAATACTTGAAAATTCAAGACTTAGATTACCGCCACGATAATGGAACTCATGATTTATCTCCAATTGTAACTCATAGAAAATAGCTACTTTCGCTTAATAATATTGTAAGGTATGGAATAATTATTAGATTCTCCCTATTGCTCATTATATCATATAATATTTAAGGTTAAGGTTTGTGTATATTTCAATTATCTTTATTATATGATATCCTTTACTTTGATCCTTTTCTTTTATTCCATCTCCTAATACTACTACCTACCCTTTAGTATCTTAGACCTACTTTTGCATACTGTATACTCTTAGACTATATATTTCATCGAATGATAGAAAATGGTCCTATCCATCGAAGGTGGATTCGGTCGAAGGGATGCAGGTTCTCATCAATTTCATCTGTATCAGGTCTTCTTTTGCGATCTAGTTCGTTGATTAGATCATCTGCCACCTGCATTCGAAACTCCATCAAGTCCATTATTTTACTTTTTTACCTAATAATAATATTAGTACCTAAACAAAACATTAAAAGCCAAATTTAACTATTTTTTTAATTTCTTTTAGAAATAAATAAATTATGTATTTTGCATGCCTGTTAACACTAAATGAATAAAGCGCTTTCTTTATGACTGACCATATTGTAACCACGTTTTATTGAATTGAATTTAAAAAAATAACATATAAATGAATACTTACGCTAACCACTCCGTTCAACAAAATAGGCCGACATCTTTCTTGCGTGGTCAATCAACACAGAATGTGGCGTCGCACTCACATTTATGCGCTTAATTTATAAACAGACCTGTGCACTATCTTTGGGTAGCATCTTGGGCCCTAAAAGTTGTTTCGAAATTACGCGGGATTTTTTTTAAACAAAGTATACCAACGTGTTCTGCCGTCTCGAATTACCAGACAGTTGCCAAAATAAATAGACTAAGAACATTTGGAGATTTTATGGTAAATAATATGTCGTAGCCAACTGGGTAAAACACCAACCGTTTAGTTAGGTGGACTTCTAATTAATAGAATAGCGCCATTCATTTGCACCTATGTAAAATAGAATGGGGCTTATAATAGCGCCTTTCATTTGCACGCCTAAAAGTGGATCAGCTGAGTAACCTACACAAAGTCTTTCTACAGTGCGGCTGTACAAGGCACAGGGAACTAGTTAACTGTTAAGGATCACGTTACGAAACATAATTATTAATTATATTAAAAGCAATATGTCCGCGATCTTATAATAAAATTACTTTGATGTTCAACTTCCAAGACACTATAACAAAAAGCTATAATTATTTATTTAAGGTACAGCACACATGTAATTAACCGATTACTATCCAATATGTTTCAATATCTTATCATAGAAAAACTTTAAAGCTATTTATCCAATTTGAAATATATATAAAAAGAAAAGCACAAACCTAAAGCTTACACAAAATTCAATCGAAAAACTGAAATCTACGCAAAATTCTTTGAACTAAACGATAACGCTGTCTCATCATCATCATCATCAGCCCGTATTCGTCCACTGCTGGACATAGGCTTCCCCAATTGCACGCCAACTAGTTTGATCCTCGGCTGTTCGCATCCAGCTCCTGCCAGCCATCTTGCGCAAATCATCGCTTCACCGTGCCTGAAGACGTCTTACACTACGTTTGCCGAGACGCGATCTCCACTCAAGACCTCGCTTACCCCAACGATTATCGGTTCTGCGGCTAATATGGCCAGCCCGATGCCACTTCAGTTTGCTAATCCGGTGGGCTATGTCGATAACCTTGGTTCTTTGCCGGATCACCTCATTTTTTATTTGATCCCGCAGAGAAACGTCGAGCATAGCCCGCTGAGCGACCTTCAACTTGTGGACCAGCCGTGCCATCAGTGTCCACGTTTCGGCTCCGTATGTCATAACGGGTAGGACGCACTGATTAAAGACTTTCGTCTTTAGGCACTATGGGATCGACGATCGACGGGTTTTCACATCGTCGATCCAACGCTGTCTAGTAAAGCAAAATTTATAATTTGTGTATTCTTTCGTATATAAAATTATTTCTACAAAAATATTTTCAAAAGTTTTAATTCAAAATATTATTTTTGTTATAAATTATATAGGTACTCAAATACAAATTTTCACCACTATATAAGGATATCTTTATAAATAATTTAAGATAGATTTATTACAACGACAATTCAAATAGTAAACAATGGTTGTTATGGTAACATTTTGATTTCCCATGTAGAAATTTTCACTCCCATTTTCACTTTCATTCCTTTAAATATAGATTTTCGTGATAAATATAAACCCACTAGGGCCTAGAAACAATGGTTGCTATGTTGCCATTTTCATCCCTCAAAGTGCTGGTTTTCGGGATAAAATATAACCTATCATCTTTCTAAGGTCTTAAACTACTTAAATACCGATTTTCATTGATATAGGTCCAAAAACAAACAAAGTTTCCTACTAACGTTTTTACCCTTTTTAACCCACTTCCTGGTGAAATTTCCAAAAATCCATTCTTAGTACATCTACGTTATAAGAAGAATGTTCCCTTCAAATTTTCTATGACTAGCGGTTTAAGCTTTGCGTTATATTATTTTAAAGGACTTTTGATTTCAGTTATTTATTTGTTACTATAATTACTATTTGGCGCATTCCCATCAATGCTTACACAATGTGTTTAAACAGCAAATATAGGAATATTCTTACAAATATTTTGATCAAGATAACAATGTATTGTAATTTACAATAGTCGATTTTATTTAATATACATTATT